ACACACAATCTCTCTGCTACAGTCTTCAGTCTCGCTCGCCAGACCTCCTTTGCACTTTTCCGACTTTTGGAAATCGCAATGTGTGAACATAGCGATTCGATCTCCATTGTCAAACTGACAGCAATGCGCACTTGTTCATTTCGTATGAAACTTTTGGCAATCAATCATTGCCCTCGAGGACATCAAACTTGCCTCCAGACTGCATTTTTTTTAAAAACCAAATCACTATTGAAAACAGCTACATTTACCCAAGGTTTAAAGAATTATTTTTAGATATTCAGTGGCTTGTTGGGGCATGAGTAGTGTTAACCACAAAACTGAGCCCATACCAGCATTTGAAAGAAATTGGATGAATCTCATCTGAAAAATAAGATGTGGAGGCCTGTAGCTCAGTGGTTAGAGCACTCGCCTCGCAAGCGAGAGGACCTGGGTTCGATTCCCAGCAGGATGAAATGTTGGACAAGTTTCCTTACTCCACACGCCTTTGCTCACCTTGCAGTAAGTTTGAACCCGGTTGTTAGTCGATTGACGGATCGCTTTTCCGGTGTTTAATAATCCCTTCAAAAAAAAAGCAATAATAATAATTCTGTCCCTCAATCCACGACTGTTTGTGGGGATGCCGTGTTTCGCCCACAAAATATACAGTCAATTCACTGTACAGTTTATTCTGTGAAGCGCTTTAAGACATCGCGAAGATGTCACAAGGCGCCATATCAAATGCAAGGATCATATTATATTATTATTGGAAGAAGATTAAATGGCATAAGGAAAGAATAGATAACTCCAGCGGGGAAATCTAGCACAGATGGGATGAACTAAATAACCTCCTGAGCTGTAAAAATGCTATGATCTCAGGTTTGTACATACAGCAATACAAGCCGCATTGTTACACATTGTGTGCAAGAACATCCACTGAGGGACTTTTTATGTTAGGGTGTTAATACTGTTAGGCAGGGCTCCAGTATCCTCTACTTTTTGAGAGGATATTATTGAGAATGGGATGTGGGCCGCTGTGAGTAATTTTCCCAGGCTTTCCTTACAAAGTACTAGACATCTAGCCTCATTTATCACAATAAGAGTCGCGTGTAAAGTAAAGTCATGGTTTAAATTTAGTCCGCGGGGACATTTGTGGCTTTGGGATCTGTTTAAAAGAATGCTGCTCCCTCCAGCACACTTTGCTGCCAAAGTTTAGACAGCCACCAAAATAGCTATCAGAATAGGAAGCATTGCTGAAAGTTCAGATTCATGTTGAAGTTCCACAGCAGTCATCCAGAGGGATTCAGAGCGTTCCTTTATAGAGCCTCTATAATTTTTCTGGCGTGGTTTTTTGCCTGCGCTCTGGGACATGGGCAGCAACGATTGCCATTTGGACTCTATGATATCACGCTTTCGGCACGTGCAAATTCAAATTGCTTCTTGGTCCCACCTGGTGGCTTTTCTGCAGCTTGAGTTTAACAGCGATTTCTTCCTATGCGTTGACTTGTTCGGGCGGGAGGGGGCAGAGAGAGAGAGAGAGAGAGAGATGGGGGGTGAAAGAGAGGGGTGGTGGGGGGGTGGGGTGAAAGCATTCAGCGGAATCTGAAGGTTTTGAATCACCACTCGAAGTAAAGTCTGTCGTCTATTTTAAGCTCCGTCTGGCGTGAAGGGCGCTATGTAAATACAATTTGCTGTTGTCGTCGATGTTTAACTTCCACATGAAAATGTGCCGGTCGTGTTGAGCACTTGAAGGAAGTGTTGATGTGCTTCACAGTGAGCAAAAGAATTTGAGGTGAAAAAATGAGACTGACAGGAAAAAAAAGCCAAAGCAAATGTTATTGTGGATTCAATTTGAAGTAGTGAAGTACAGCTGGAGTAGGATTTGGTCTTGCAATTTAATAATACCATTCCTTGTGTTGGATATAGAGCCTTATCAAAGCTTCACAGATGTTGTTGTCGAGTTTAGTGACTGTATTTTAAAAGTGAACTTCAGAGCACGAAAAGGGGAGAACAAAAGCAAAAAGCAGGTCATAGCAATGACCTATAATATAATACATAATCAGATGTATTAACGAGACAGATTGTACATAAAATCACCCGCTTCACAAAACTGTTGACTTTTTTAGCATTTTCCTCTGTTGGGGATGTATAAGTTTGCTTGATATCAAACGGTTACAGCGAATGCTCTGTTAATTTGATCTTAATTAGACCAATAAAGTAGCTGGCACATGAGGCAGCAAAGCTGCAAATTCAACCCTGCCAAAGCTCATCAGATGTTTTGTTAGACACCGAGCAGAGTTGCTTTAGTTTGAATTTTTACGTCTGATCTTTAATAACAGAGCTGCCCTACTTCTGACCTTCTCTGTCGTGGCAAAATATGCGTTGTCAGCAATTTTCTTTGATTTGCAAAATGTTTAGGGTGTTCCCTTCAAAGGATCCAGACAACAATATTCAGAACCCTACCGCTGTTTAATTATTCAAGCCTCTGAGTAGAAGATTGGTATCTGATTCCTGCAGCTTTTTAACGTTCGTTTCTGATTGTCTGCAGGCAGGTACTTGTTCAGTTTCCCCCCAATGTGTTTCCGCCGCCCCCCCCACCCCCCCCATCCCCTCAGTCTCGCTTTGAACCACCCCCTATTAACAAGCAACACAGTGGGGTTTTTTTTTTTGTGTGTTTAAAAAAAGAGAAAGAACAAAAAAAGATAAAAGACTCAAACCACCAAACGGAGGTATCCCTTCCACTTTTGCAAAGGAAATTGACGAACCATTTCGTATTTTTGAAGAACAATACACTCGAGACAATAAAAAATCAAGTGGTATTCTCTTTGTCAGAGCAAGCCTTTTGTTTCTTGCGCTTGGCCTGAGCCTGATGTGAGGAAACTCGATTTAAAAATAAGCACGGCAGGAGTTGACCTGGCTGCGGCTCTTTTTTTCCGCTTTTTATTTAAAGATTGCCGTTTCCTAAGGTCTCTTTGCCAATATAGGGGAAGGGGTGGGCTGGGGCTGGGTGGGGAACGAGAGGTGTGTAAAATACGGTATTCGCCACAGGATTCGCGAGGGGATTTGTAAAGACAGTCAAACCCACGGCCTCAACAAGAGTGGCCCTGTGAGCAAGGGTTCATATTGGTGCGCGAACCGGGCTGTTCCAGGGTGGTGGTTAACGGGGGGAGGGGAGCGCTTGCCGAATGGAGGCACTTGGTTTGACTGCATTAAATCCCGTCGGATTGTCCAGCGGAAACTCCAACTCTGATTCTCCCCGAAACAGATCTGGTCAGAGCCTGGTCCCTGTGGTTTTAGCGGGACGGACATCTGTTTTAACGGCATCTGTTTCAGCGCTTATGAACCTTTTGCCAATTCCCATTGTCATCACTGACCCCGGAAGCTGCAGTCCGCGTTGATTCGGTTTGGATCGGATGGATGGTACGCGCCGACTTTCGAAACGCTGCACTGGAACATCTGATGGGTTTTGTCTCCTCGTCCACTAGTTCAGTCCGTTGCACTAACAGGAGAGCTGGCAGTGTCGCAAACTCAGTTGCTGCTTATTCCTTGTGCTAATCAACGCACAAGCTACGCGACATGAAATGCCGCAAACTGAACCAGAAATCTCCTTCCTCGTTCCTGCAAATTTGCAATTAAACACCCGGGCTTATCCGTTTAAATCGCTTTCCTAACTTCCAGCGCCAAACAAAAAAATAATGCGGTTCGAAACGAAGATTCAGTCCGTGTGCTAATTGCTATCCGTTCCCCATCAATAACATTTAACTCCCCTGTCCTGTGAGTTACTCAAGTCAGGCATTTCATTTCTTGCCCCAATATCTGGTTCCAGATTCTGTGGTTGAAGGTTTGACGTCTTCCAATAAATAAATAAATGAATAAGTAATCCTTACATTTGATATAGCGACTTTCATGTGAGGAAAATGTCTCAAAACACAGGATATGCTGTAAAGTGCAGTGGACTGTGTTTTGTAGGCGAATGGGACAGCCGGTTTGTACACTGCGCCCTTCCTTGCCCCCCCCCCCCCCCATTTCTGTTTTTCCTGTCAGCCACCATCTTAGCAAGCGGACAGGAGGGACAGTGGGCTCAGAGGTCGTGGGGTAAAAAAAAACGCTGTCGGTTGCGTCTGAAAAATATATTCCGCAGCTTCGTTTTACAATGCTGACTCTGCCTCTCCCGTACTTGTTGCAGCCTGTTTCTATTTTTCCTTGTGGAGCAACTTCTGGTGAACATTGGGGCATGTGAATCCTCCTCCCCGGCATACACACACCTTCCCTTTCCTTGGCCTCTTTAACTCTTCTGCTAGGTTTGGAAATGGGGGTTCTTTCTTTCCGTGTTGGTATTGGGTCGGCAGATTCATTGCGGTGACCACATAGCGTAGAAGGCAGGATGTAGGGGGGCAAGGTGTTCGATGAGCGTTGTATGTTGAGATCACTGACATTGCCGTCAGTGGGACCTGAAAGTATACAAGTACAGATAGCATCGTGGACTTTTTTTTACAGTAGGAGGTGATTCAAGCCCATACTGGCTTGAACTCGTAGCCTGGCTGACACTCCAGGGCTGCTGCATCATCAGGAGTGTCCAATTTCAGATGATATTAGGTCCAAACTGTTTGTTCGTCAGGTGAACCCCGAAGATCCAACAATAATAATAATAATAATAATCCTTACATTTTATATAGCGCCTTAGCACGTTGTTGAGACGTCTCAAAGCGTTTCGCAGAATAAACCGTAAGCAGCAAAACAGCAGCAACGACAACAACAACTTGCATTTATATATCGCGCCCCTCTCGCAGGGTAGAGTCCTGGAGCGCTTCGAGGTGCATTGACTGTGTGTTTTGTGGGCGAAAGGCGGCTATTCAACAAAAGAACAGCATTCCTCCGAGGGTCCTGATAAACACCTTCCAAATTAATTGACCATTGCTGTTGGTGGGATTTCTGTGCATAAACTGCCTATATTTACGCGCACGAGAAAGTCGCAACGCTTATTGTAAAGCTCTTTGATCCGCAGAGTGCTGTGATTCCTTTTCTTTTTAACTCTAATCTCATTCTACTCTTTCCCCGTACATTTAGCTTATTTTTCTTCACGTCGGGGACGCACTTCTGTTGTTATTCCTGCTCGTGTATGAGCATACATTATTGCATTATGGTCGCTCGGAGTGCTTGATTTTGCTTGCGTACCCCTGTTTACTCCTCTCGCGAGCTGGCTGCTGACATTGGCAGAAGAGCTGGTTTGCACACAGGATGACAAGATCTCAGTGAATTCAAGTCATTCTTGACCGTCTGGATTTTACTCCTGACCTGCTGTACCGGAGCCCCGAGGCATAAAAGAGGAAAGACGACCAAATTGTTTCTCCAGCTATGCTTTTTTCAATCGTAGTCTAGATTAGACCCAACTTGAGATAAAGACGCCCATTTGAGGGATGTGAAAAATTCCGAAACGGTTTGTGTTGTGAGTCGATGTATAATTGTTTATGACTGCTGATGGTATGTACCCCTGTTTGCTGTGCGATAATAATAGTGATACTTCAAATAATACCATATAGAGTGCATTAAGCATGATTATTGAAGGTAAAGTTCTCCTCCCGAACAGTAAATTTCAGTGGAAAATAACCAGTAGGTTTTCAGCCACCAAATCATTCAACAGTGTTTTGTAAGGATCAGATAAAAAAAAGATCTCTTCAGCACCTCTCTTCGACATCCATTTTATGTTGTTAGACCAGCTGTCCTACCTTTTACGGGATAAAAGGTCGCTATCATTCGCATTGCAGGTTGTTGATTGCCTTTGCGTGTGTGTGTTTCTTTTGGAAAAGCGGTGATGTTTCCGTTGCAGACCGGCAAAGGGGGGGTTCACTGGAAAAGTTTGCCGTGAAATTTTCCATCGTTTTGGTGAGAGGAATTCAACGAAAAGAGATGTTCTTGGATCTGCAGTAAATTAAGTAAATAGTTAAACTGTTGGAAAGAGAAATGTGGCAACTCCTGTTTGACACGGACTGTGCACCTCTCCTCCACTTCTGTTCCTATTTGAAATATAAGGGCATTCTGCACTGCGCACTACACACGGTGCATTCTTTCCCTGGGCTCGATGCTATTCTCCTCCTCTTGGGTCAGTTTGCAAATGGCTTATTTGTGACTGGAAACTATACCATTCGTAAGAATACAGAAAAGCACTAAATTTAGCTCACGGGAACAGATGTGCTACAGCGGATTTGGGTGGTTCAAGTTCATCGCATTGGTTATTGATCAGAATAATTCTTCTGTTTAGTCAGTGCTTTCAAGTCGGGAGGACTTCTCGAAGTGCTTCGCAGTGGTATACGGTAAAGTGGACTGACTGCGCGTGTTTGGTGGGCGAACGAAGGAAAGAACTTATGCATAGCAATGCTGCACAAACAGCCATGGGATGAATGACCAAGTTTATTTGGGGGACTGCTGGCCAGGACACCAGAAGAAACTCCCTTCATGTTTCGAATAGTGCCATGGGATCTTTAACGTCTACCTAGGTTTAAAGTCTCATTCGAGTGACAGCACCTTCCAACAATGTGTCATAGCTTCAGTGCTGTAGACTGTACGAGTTCTCGACATGGGGTTCGAACCTTCGCAGCCTTCTCTCTCGGAGGTGAGAGCGCTACCAACTGAGCTGAACTGACAAGTGGTTCTGACCTAGAAACGATGTCAAGCCTGCTCAACTACTTCATTGGGGTTCAATCAGTTGGGCGTTCTTCATTCTCACAAACTTTACTTTGATTTATCTACTAGAGGGAAGAGTCAATTCATAATCTTTGAATTCATGGCAATAAACACCCCATTCTGATCACCACTCAACCTCCGCAGGTCCAGGGAACATAATCCCAAGTTCACACGGCTTCCTATCCTAGCTACACCCCTTCATTTCGTGTATCATTCCGGTGAATCATTGCTGGACTTCCTCCAACGCTTGTATATCTTACCTAAGGTAGGACGCAAACAAATTGAACACAATACACTACTAGTGAAGTCTGACTGGCTCACATGGGTGGTCCCAGCTGGCCAGCCGGCTTGTCCAGTCTGGCTCACCCAAGTGAGCCATAGAAGGACTGTCAATATACCCTGCAACTGAAGGTCAATGATGCTCAACTCTTTCAGGAGGGGAGCAGAGGAGAAAATCGCTTCCCCCACAACACCCCCCAAAAAGAACTGACACCCAGCTGACCCCACCCCCACAAAAGAAATTAGAACAACTGTGAAGTGATATGAGCAGCGAGGCAACTTTTCAGACTCCTCTTAGGCTGGTTTGATCTGAAAACTTCACGAAGGATCTAGTACAGACCTATGTTGTGCGGCTTTGCTTGGAATTGTGTAGGACGCAGCCTCCCCTTGGTTGAAGGCATGAAGTAGCGTGGCTGAATAAGGCAGCCAATGCTCACTGTCTAACCTCATCAGTGAAGCCCGGCTCACTTATTTTTGAGCAAACCGCTTCACAGAAACCCATTCGTAGCTGAAATATGCACTGAACAGGGTTGTTGCTCCTTTGCTTTTTCCTTTTGGGTAGAAAGAATCAAATTCTGATCCTCCTCGATGCTAACTTCATATAAAAAAAAGTGATAACAAATATTCTGAGGTCTAAAGTGACTCCTCTGGAGAATCTTTCGTGCCTTGCGGGATGCCAAATAGTTTCAGTGTATAAGCGAGAGCCTTCATTCTCAAACCAGAGTAAGTGTTTCCTGTATATCAATATAAACATGCACCATCGATAAGTCATTTTTCAGCCATAAATATTTACAGCAGATTAGAAGTGGTGCTTTTTTATACAAAGTAGATTTTCTTTTCCAAATTGAGATCATTCCAATTCTCTCTTCGCTGGCCCAGTGTGGAAACGAACCCCACAGGCCAGGAAAGTCCCAGGTTCAGTCCCTGGTCTGGGCTAAGTTATCTGATCTCGTTCCGGTGCCAGTCGGGGTATTAGAATTGGTCTTACTGTTCCCAGGCTAAGGGGTGGGAGCTGAGATTAACCGCTCTTCTGAATCACTATCTGTTGCAGTCATCTCTGTGGGAAAGTTACCGCAGGGGAGAGAGGAGGGATGGACATTGGGCGAGGAGAGGATCAACAACTCAGAAGCCTGTCTCCAATCTGGCTTCACATAGAGCACAGCCATTGCTCTTCAATTCTGTCTTTCTCAAGTGTGGTAAGCTCCTGGGTGTTCCTTGTTCAACCTCCCAAAGGGAACGATGATTGCTGTACGAAGGATTCGCAAAGCAGTTGCGTTCTACTTCCCTTCCTTTTTCAGACAAACAAAAAGCACACAATAATGGAATGAACGAGTTTCTTTCGAAAGTAAATGTCGATCGTGTTGTAGTAACAAAAAAAAAACTCCCAGTTATTTAGCGCCTTTCACGTCAACATAGAGCGCCTGAAAGGAAATATAATTGATTAGGAATGAGCGTTATACAATCAAACACGAGAGCTAATCTTCACCAGTGAATTCCCATTGACGGCAATCAGTTCAGTAACCGATTACAGAGCAACTGGAGCCTCGTTATTATGCGGCTTCACTTATTGCGCAGTTTGGCTGGCGGATGGGGTCTGAAGCCCGATGATCACTTACCCAAAACAATCCAAAATATCCGTGTCTGAGCTTCATCGGCACTTCCAGGTCATCAGATCGCTGGCGAAGTCACTTCCTGCGCACAGTGTGCAGGAAATGCGATCGGGGGGGGGGGGGGGGAGGTGACCTCTTCTCGGACGTCAGCCGTTTTAAGTTCCCATGTGGTGACTGCCAGTGTTTCACTTCCTCCACCTCCCCACCTACTGCCTTTATAATAGGCCTCCACTACCATTTGAATGTCAGGGTCATTTTGTGTCAGGAGGGGAATATTGACCAGGAGAAGGGGTGTATAAGTGTGCGTGTGGGTATAGTTCTATCAAAATTAAACAGAAAAAGGCAGGCGTGGCTTTTCCAGCGTACGCTGGTTCGGTTTTGCGAGGACAAAGCTTCTTTATGACGCCATTCCCACTCTTGCTTCGGTAGGGAACACTTCAGCATGTAACAGAGGGAAGCAATGACAAAATCCAACTTGCTATCAGTCACCAATCAAGTACAGAAAGTTCTGCGCTTGTTATCAATCCCCTCCCAGCACTCGGAATGAGTGCTACTGAATCTGACCCCCGTGGCTGAACTTTGCTTGTTAGTTGAAGTTCACACAGACTTTTCACCAGGCCTGCCCAGAAAGCTGTCTCCTCTAACTTCCTGTGGACTTACATAATGCTGCCTTGCTCCTTGCGTAACTGCGCCTTTGCCTGGGTTTCTGCCCGAGTTGTGTTTGTGGATTGCAAAAGCCTGTTGTGGAAATGTAGCCAGCAGTAAACATTGCTGGATATCGCAGTGCACATCATATCGTATCCGATTTTACTGATAAAAAGTACTGGCAATTCTAAATAGTGTCTCTTGAACAAAGAAATAAGTTTGATGTCATCTGAATGAAACGTTACATTTGACACGTACAATGTTGTTTATTCCCGAAACCATGTTTTGAAGCTGGCAATCGGAGGACCACCAGTTTGTACTGGCACTTCTTTCTTATTGGGCTGCACCACGATGCTTCGCCGCAATGCACAGCTGCGCGAGAACGCGCTCAAATCACCTTTTCGTCCCGCTGGTCTGACGGTTTAACGGTCACGGAGGCGGTTTGCAATTTTATTTTCCACGTTCAATAGAAGAGACAGCTTCGCATTTAAGTTCAAGCTCTTCCCTCACCCCCTTCAACACACACACACACACACACACACACACAAACTGGGACCTTGAACTTCTAGTCTACACTGATACTCCGGTGTAGCACTGGGAGAGTCACTGCGTTTCTGAGAAATTACACCCAGGTCTCATCTGCCTGTTCAGGTCCCCAGGACACAATGCCAAAAAGGGGAAGGGTGCTTCTCCTCGGTGTGCTGGTCTACAGCTAAAAGAACTGTTCACTTTGCGCCTGTTTGTAGGTCCTTGCAGTGCTCAAGTTGGAAGCACTTCTAGAAATTCAGAGCCGCCTCTCACTTTCACAGCAGCTACCTGCGAAAGGCTTTGAGATGCTTTGAACGTTTTAGGCGCCAAGTCAAAGACGAGCGTGAGAAGAGCGGCGTGCTGAAGACGTATTGGGGTTGAAATTGCGACGATCTCAAGCGGAAAGTTTCTGCACTGATAGCGAGTTGTGACTTTTGAGTAATGGTGCATGAATCGCTACGCCATTCGACTCGCATTTTGCGTTAGGTATGAATACTGCGATTGCAGGGGCTTTGAACTCGCAGTCTAGGCCGACACTCGAATACCATGCTAGGGGAGCGCTGTCAAAGGTTGCCATCCTTCAAGTTCCTGTCTGCCTGTTCCGACGGCTGTCGAAGATCTCACGACAACACTGAATAGCAGAGGGAGTTTCTCCTGGTTTCTTGGCCAACATTCCCCCCAAAGGTGCGCAAATAGGCTGCCACATTCACCTACAAAGCACTTTTAAGTCACCGCGCTTTAAGTGTTGTATATCCTGGGAAGTGTTTTGAGACATCTCAACATCATTATTATTATTATTATAGTAAAAAAAGGAAAAGGTTTCTAGTCTGGTCTGCAAAGATCTTTTTGCGGCCAGTGTTGTGAGCTTTGAAGAATCCCAAAGGAGAAGTTCGACCAACATCCCGCACTCTCAATGCCCCAATAAGAAGTCACAAAGCAACCAACCCATGGGTTGAAATATCATTCATCGTTGGCTCGGCCAAGTACAGAATTCCACTGGGCTTGCGGCGGGGAAAGCGTACAAAACTGGTACGAGCCTCGTGCCGTTGGAACTTCCAGCCTTTTAATCCGCTTTCCTGATGTCGTCGTTCCACGTGCAGCCACAGACTTGCGTCCCCGACAGCGTTCAATCTACTTCAGCTGTCACTCGGAATGCGTTGTAATACATCCTCGGGACGTCCTCCCGACCTGAAAGGCGCTTTAACCAACGTCATTTTCTTGTTGTCGTTGTTGTTGTAATACGTACAGTTGTGCTCCGGGCAGCAGCGGGACTCCGTACCGCTCTCCTGATTGGTCCTGATTGAGGGTGTCTCCTCTCTATAATTTCGCTAACGGGCGCTACACTTTACACTCGGCCCTTTGCAGTGATTCCCTTTACCGCAATTCCTGTGAAGTGCTTTGAGATATTTTGATGGCAAGATAAAGGCACTATATATAAAATATATGTATATGTGCCTCTCTCTCAAAGGGAAGGATCGTTATTTCTCTGTCATTTCTATAAATGAAGTATTTATGTCTACTGGAAGGCATTGTCTTGCCTGAGAATGACTGATTTCTGCATTTGTTGTTAAACCAGTTTTACCCACGAATGTTCCATGTTCAGTTGTTTGTTGACGAGGACAAAGCTCATTTGTGCCATTACTTCCTTTATTGATAAAGATGCAAGTACCTTAAGTGAAATCTGGACCCTAATGCCAAAATAGCTGCAAAAGTTTTCAACTGGTTACTTTACTGCACTTAACTGGTAAATAGCACTTTGATTTTTCCCTTGGAATTTCATGTAATGATTTTTTGGTGCTTGTTTTTATCAGTACAAGAGGATTAGTACTCAAATTTATTGCAAATGACAGGGCTTTAACTAACACTGGAGGGGAAGTGGGGTGGGGAAACTTTGTAAATGTTGTGATGTGTCGATTTAATAGCGATGGTAATAAATAATACACGCATCAAACTGACTGGTCCCTGGGTGTGCTGGAGATTCAACGGGATTCAATGGTCGCTATTGTAGTGCAGCACACTCCAACAACACTATGTCAAAGTGCACTTTACAGCCTTTCTTCTGGAACATTTTATAACCAGGTAGGCGTGCCCACGAACTTACCTAACGCTCGCTCATTACTCCCCAGTGGCACCTACTTGCCCATACAAGGAAGATTTCCCTGAAGGTTGCCAACTTTATAGATACGGGTCAGAAGACCGGTATCTTATTCTCTGTGTATGGAACGCAGTGACGCAATTTGTTTTCCCTTTTTCAGAACTCATACCGCCAAAGTTCAGCTGTCTAAACAATGCGTTCCACATTCCTGCAATCCCCCTTCAGTTTCATGTTTTGACTTTACAATCAATGCAAATTAAAAGAAAAGAAACCGTACTGTCCTGACTGCTCGAATCACTTCCAAAACGCGCGGTAAGCTGCCGTTTTGGGCACTGAAAAAGCTCAAATTTTGCAGCGTTTCATAACTGGTTCCTCGCGCACAAGTCATGACGTATCGCACACTTTACGCCAGCGTCCGAAGGAAGACCGTGAGTGTCGTTGAGGCTGTGTGTGTTTCGCCCGGAAAATACGCAGTCAATCCACTTGATAGCATGTCCTGTGAAGCGGTTTGAGGCGACTCAAGCACTCGTGATATGGCGCTACATCGAAATGCAAGGACTTTCGTCTTATAGTACGGTTCCTGGGTTCGAGGGAAGCTTAAAACTCTACAATTTTGCAAGACCGGTCGGCGGTCTTTTAACCCTGCGCCACCCTAACCTTAACACAGGTCAGTTCCCGTTTCTCCGAAAGTGAAACACTTTCTTCTTTGCAGCGGCCAACGTAGAAAGGCCTCGTGTGTGTGTGTGTGTGTGCGCGTGTGGGTAAAGAAAAAACGTGCCGGTCAGCCTCAGACACAGGCAGGCCTCCATTCAAAATCTGATAAGCTCTTTCTCTTGTGCTTGTTTACAAACTGATGGGACGTTTAAAGCCATCAGTAGCGGTTCGCCGAAATTGCCGTCCGATTTCTAAGTCAGATCAAGGTGGCTCAGCCTCTCCCTTGTGGTGAAGTCATCTGTTTAAACACCCAATTACTTGGAAAGTTCAGGAACACTGCTCCGACAGTATCAGCAAATTCCACTTGTGTGTTTTTTTTTGTACAACGCGGAAACCATTCAACGCACATTAAACAAAAATAATCTTTTTTTTTTACGGTTTTACCTTTATCCTCTGATCCGCTTGTACGTCAATCATTTTGAGGTTTAAAAAAAAACTCTCCCAAGACTCTGCCCCGACTGAAGGACGCTGTTGTACAGAAATGTCGGACCGCTACAAATCCTTGGATCCTCTACGGCGTCCGGAACCTTGAAATGTCCCTCACAAGTGCCTCACTGGTTGTCGCTGCGAAGTGTAGTGACTGTATGTATCGGCTAAATAGGACGGCCTATTTGGGCACATCAAGTAGCCCACAGATGAGCATAAAACAAACCCCCCCCCTCCCCCCCAATTGAAATCGAGGATTGCTGACCAGGATACTGGGAGAAGTCCCCTTCTCTTCGAATAGTTGTTATGAGATCTTAGCGCCCGACTGAAGAGCGGAGTAAAGGGAACATAGCGCACGTTGGATTCAGATGTCAGCATAAACTAGTGACTCGCAGCAAGATCTAAACATGCCTGCCCCGCCTGGGCGTGGAAATTTCGCTTGGACTACATAGCAAGAATAGGATGAAACTTTGCGACATGTGATGTTATCACGGTGACACTCTTGAGGTTAGCCGGTACCCGATGGCAGCCAGTACCATCCTGCAAACTGGCACCCTGACCCCGAAATCCTCCTTACCAATCGCTCTTTCACATTGTCACCATTTATGGGAGCTTTCTCAACAACCAGAACAACTTGCCCTCCACTTTCCTCTGTAGAAAAGTGACTTGCCGTGCCACGGCACTTGGCATTAATTACTGTGAAGCCCACAA